GCGTGAAAGCCTTCGACAATACATTTGAAGGGTATGTTTTTTACATTTTCTGATCACTTCTGCACAACCTGGAACATTGTGTCAATCCAAATTTAGTTATGCACCAGTTTTAACTTTCTCAAATATTCCAACACAATTCTCAGCTTCAGATTGCAAGTCATCTTTTAAAGATGCAGATTGCATCTTTAAAAGATGACTTGTTAACAATGAAAAATACTTTAAAAAGGCATCTTCCAATATGCTTTTAAAATGTGGGGGTTCCTCTTGGAAGTTTCAGATTTTAATGGGGTAGAATAGACTGCAGGTGAATACAAGCAAAAATGAAATGAGCTAGAAAGATCGATCTAGGGGAAAACTTAGGTAAATTTGTTTCATTTACATATTCCACTCCATTTGCAGGAAGGTACAATCAAGATGTATGTGCCTTCATTTCTATGCCATGTTATTTTGTGCAATATGTATTTTAAATGTATGCCTCCAAAACATCCTTGCATACATTGCTAAGATCTTTAAGAATAGCACTGCAATTATGTGATCTCAAACAGCTTCAATTACCAGCCTGGAGCCCTTATTGGTGAAATCCAATTTCCAAGTTCTAAAGCACTAACAAAAAAATGTATTTCAACCAAATTCCAGAGACATGTTCTTAAAAGTAGACATAATATCCTTGAGAGAGGTTACATCTTTCCCACCACAAACACTATTCTTAGACAAACTACCTACGATCTTACTGAAGAAAAACAATCTCCTTATTTTGAAACAGTGGCACTCTATTGCTTTCAGTACATCAAGTACATAAAGTCACAGGAGTTAAACAAAGATTAACTCTCTTTTGATGCAATTACCCCTGCCACTCAGCTGCAATTTCAGTTATTCATATGCAGTCAAAAGCTACAGTTATCTGAAAATTGCTTTGGTATATGACGCTTAACAGCTTGAATAACTGGTGAACATTTTTTAGAATATGAAAGAAATTGAAACCTTCTCTGAAATATAGTGCCTGGAAACTCCAAAGTACTCCATCCATGAAGAAACAAGGGGCAGATATCAGCGGATTGTGTACGGCAGGAATGATCTCAATTCTATCCTACAAGTTGCTGAAAGCATGATCAAACCATCCTTGTAGTTCATCTTACAAAGAAGAGCTATCAAATTATAACAGCCCTTATCAGCTGAAGTCAAGAATCAACAATGGAGACAAGATGACTACTGTATAATTCTTAGATGCAACAGCTAATTAACATTAAAACTGGCTTCAGCCCTAATTTCCAGGCAGGTGACTTTGATTTATTTTGCTAGGGATCCTCTGAAAAATTCCATGAAATCAACTGTAATGGTTTGTGGAAATGACCTTGGAGACAGGGGAGAGACCCACAGCCAGGGGAACCGTCATATAAGAGGCAGCTTTGCCTGCAGAAGGAATGGGGGAGTGGCAAACATCTCAGGCTACAAAGGTGATGGGGAAGAAATGTACTTGCAGACTTGCAAGATTCTATTAATGTAACCTTACAATAAAGTAGAATTAGTTCATCTGGGTGTGCTTCCTGTCTGCAAGGCTGACACCAATAGCAATGCATGCTACATTTTTTGTTCCATTACAAAGACCTTCTACATAATTATTCTTTGGGGGGAGGGGGTGTTCTGTTTTTCATTTTCATTTCTGCAGTCTTCTCAGAACAAATCATGTTCAAATATAACTTCTCTTTTGGAACAGCCTTAGATCTAAGAAAGACTCCATTAATTAGAACACCACTTTAAGCCAACTGTCTTAGGGAACACACCACTAATATGACTTGATCTAAGGAGCTTTTCTATGTTTCTCAAGCAAGTAGGGTTAACACTTTGATTAATGTAAGAGTATCTGCAGTTTGATGGAACAGTGTTTTGAATAAAGTATCTTCCCCCAATTACATGAAATTAAGGAGCATCTTTAATGGTCCGTGACTTTTTAACTGCTACCTAAACCTTCATAAAGAGGTAAAAATGCTGTCCCTATTTCTTTCAGGTTTCATTATTTACTAGAGACAAATATAATCGGTACCATTTCTTGAACTATAGCTTTCAGATTCACCTTTTCATTCCTTTCAGTGAGCCAAGCGTTTTTGTATGTATGCATTTGCCAGAAATTTGCAGCCAATTCTGGCATACATTAACTTCTTTAAGTCAGAAAACAAGATGGCTAATGAAAAACTGGATTTCTTGCCTGAGTTTTGAATAGAACATGAGTAGACCGACCATATCTAAGCTGCACAGATCTGGATGACTGCTAAATGGTAGCACCGAGAGATGGAAAATCCTAATTCTTTGCTGCCATCTAATTATAGTCTGGAACTTGCTGCTAGATATGGTAGACCTAACAGTGGGTTCCAGCCAGACTTAGCTACATCAAGCCTCTTTCCAACCTCCTTCGATAGGATTTCCTTGAGTCTGTTCTGCTTAAAGACCCTCTGATAGCTGATCTTAAAACAGCAGCAATATCGGATGCTACATCTCTCATATTTTGGACATTCCATTTATCCTATCCTCAAGGCTTACTATAGAGCAAAAGGAGGGATCATCATTCATTTCCACATTTGCCTAACAGTTTTTCCCCCCACCAGAAATAACTCCCTATGAACAGAAGTATCTTATATTTTCTGGGAAAATAAAAGGAAGTGGAGAAAATTGTAAATGATTGCAGATATCAGTGCTGAATAATTTAGATTAGCCATTACTGGAGGACTGCTACAGTATTTACCTACAAAATCTGAATTGAACTTCTCACTTTTTTCTTTCCTTCTCCTTTCCTCACACTCTTCCAGCTATATCTCTTTCTCTTTCTTTTCTTTCCCAGTGCAACTTCCCTTTCTTCCCACCCCATTTCCATTCTGTTTGTTATCCATCCATCCATCCATCCGTCCATCCATCCATCCATGTTTCTGCTGGAAGAATGAAGATGAATAATGTTATCTGGTATAAGCAGTTTGTATGTGTGAGAAAATGGGTGGTAAATGCAGGGAGGAGATCAGTGAATCTCATAAATGGGGTAATTAATTTTAATCAGCAATTATTAATCCAATTAATACTTAATGTTTTGCCTTAGCTAGCCCAGCACGTTTGTGTTGGCTGGCTAGAATATGTGCACACATTCACATCGACACACAAGTGAGTGAAACATATAATTTATTGGCTTTATCAATGATTTTAGATAGAGTTGCCAAAGCAGCCACTCTCCAGAAATTTTGTCTGCATTTACCTTTTTTTTATATCTACTCTTCTTTTTGAGGAGATAATCTTACATTCAGCCATATCTTCGTTTGAGTAAATATTCCAGTAGCACACATTTTTGTACATAGAAAATGTTGGATTCTACCAGCGCCCTCCCAAATACAGTGAATAATTGGGGTTCCCAGGATTTCTGGTTAACATAACTAAGATGGAGAAGGCTGGAACAGGTTGTTCTGAACAAGAGGAATCAATGGTATCTCCTGGAAAAAGGTTTCCTATATTGCCAAAAGATTTTTCCCAGCTAGCAATTAATAGCAAATGCTTCTTGCCATTGGAGGTAACAGTCAACACCAAAGTTCTTTGGCCTTTAAAAGAGGGCATCTCAGGATCAAAGTTAATTTCAAACTATTTCATGTATAAAAGGAACCCACAGAGAGAAGGTGAGCTAGGAAGGCAACAGTCAGAAAAAGCAGCTTTGTTGATGATCAGCAGAAAAGAACCGTGTCCTGCTATACGTATGTGTACAGCAACTCCTAACTTCGTTTCCAGAAAGTGTGCTGGGGGGCTTTGTGATGGGAAAACCACACAACAAAACAAAGATCATAGCCCCTGAAAGGCTGAGGTATGTATCATAAATTTTCTTGGCTCAGAACCCTTTTTGTCAAATGTATTTAAAAAGTGTTGCTCCCACTGAAAGGAATACAACAAAGAAAAAAAATGTTCATATGTGATTATTTGTTTGTTTGTTTATTTATATTTCAAATTGGTTACTGCCCATCTCACTGCAGAGTGACTCTGGACGGTTTACGGTAAAAAAAATGAATTAAAATAGAATAAATATGAATTAAAATACATTAAAATACAACAAAATTCCTATATAAAAAATAAATGGCTTCCAAGGAACTGATGTTAACTAGAAGTTATTAGACTTGGGGAGCATCTTCAAGGTGCCAGCTACCCCCAGGGTTGGTTATATCCCTTCTTGCCCCATTATATTGTATTTCTTTCACTTTTTTGTTAAAGCACTTTCTATGTCTTTCTTTTCCCCCTTCTTCTCAATAATAAATAAATAAAGTGGACTTGCAGATTCCCCCCACTAAGAAATGAAGAGTTGGAGAAGGGGAACAGAAAGATTGTTAGAAAGGGAGAACCAAAGGCAAATATATGCTGTATTACAAATGTACGTTACTCCACAGGAGACAGCACAGATAGAAATGAGAACCAGTCAGTGTTTGTCGCCTACTCCCAGTTAGTACTGAATTGGTATAGCTAGAGGAAAAAAATCCACATAAAGGTTTGGATATTAATCTATCACCAAATGTAGGCATACATTAATTTATTAATTTGTACCTGATTTGCACACACACCCACAAATAGCATGGAACAAACATTAAAATCCAACCAGATAAAAACTAAAGCTGGACAGAATATTGTTAATGAAAGCAGTCTTCTGGATATGATGGTGCTATAGCTAGACCTCTATCTTCAATCTCTGCCAACTTCCCACAATTTATAAATTGTAATTATTTACTTGCTACGCTACCTGTTACTATCAGAACCATAAGCAAATGACTATTTTGATGACCAGGCAGGGGTTGTTAGTTTTCTATCTGGATGGGATCCTGGAAAGTTCCACCACCTTCTTTTTCCCTTAAAGCGACTATGTGAGCAGGTGATGAAAAGACATGAGAATTCTTCTTCTCAAGATTAGAAAATATATAACAGCTACTAAAGACAATCTTATACATTTAAAATGGAAGTGACCAAGAACAGAATCTCTCAACTGGAAAATCATGAGAAGTCACTCTATGCCATCTAAGACTGATTGACTAGAAGTGGTCAAGTGTCTTCAGGATCAGGTAATGAAGTTTTGATACCAGAGATATTGGCTCTTCTGAAAGATTATAAGCTTCCGTAGATACTTGACATTTTAGTAATCCTTCCCAACAGAAATACAGCTTTCTTTCCTCTGCATTTAGGAATTGCTGTTAGCTAGATTATTTGATTTCTCATTCTTTGCCATCTAAAGTTAAAGCATGCAGTGTGGATGCTATTAAAAATTGACTTGCTTCCATGAAGTTTATTGCTCTAGTTCATGAAAATTTACATAAATTCTTTAAGTGATCTTTTAGTGTATCTTTGCTACATGATAACAAGGAATAGGAAATGTGTTGTTTTACACTAACAGGGACTCAGTTATATTACTGTTTTTGGTATGGGAAACTACTAAGCACTTATCTGAGGCTGCATTATTGCACAGACTTCATATGAAAAGAAGCAACAATTGATCAAAACTGAATTTTTAGAGAAAAAAGTTAAAGAAATCTTATTGCTTTAGGCATCCCATTTATCTCCAGACCGATATAGATCTTTGGCCTCTGCTAAATATGAATTTAACAAGCTTTATTCGTCTAAAACAGACCTTTTATTCTACTTCATATGGCAACAATAATAGGAAAAGGGAGAGGAAGTTAGTAAGTTATTGGCTTTTAAACTTAAATTAAGCAATATAATATTGCACATCTATTTAGGATATAAATGTAAAGGTGTATACAAATCCCAGACTCATTAATCAGGAATCATTTAAATCTTGTTCTACTCTATATAATACTAATTCTTCATCAACAGAAGATAAGATAGACACTTTTTTACAGAGAGTAGGTTTGTCGCATTCATCCCAGGATCAAGTCTTACTTCAGTTCTGTTGCTTCAAGAAATTATCACTATAATTAAATCTGTGAAGTTGGAAAAGAGTGCTTGTCCCAATGGCTTGGGATCAAAAATAGATTAGCTTGTTGCCTCCCATTTTACTTGAAGTCTGTAGTGAAGCATTTTCAAACAAATCTCTGACTTTTAGTTTAATCAGACAAGCATCATAATGATGCCCAGACAAGACAAATATCAACTATTTGTTCTAATTGCAGACCTATTTCCTTGATAAACATAAATACTAAAATATTAACCACTACTACTTTGGCCTACAGATTACAGGGTGTTCTTCCAACTATTATACACCCAGTTCAGGGTGAATTTATACAGGGCTGCCAAACTTCTGACAATATCAGATTTTTCACTGATGTTCTTGTTTCTATTCCAAATAGACAAGACCTAGCAGATATAATTCTTTTGGACACTGAGAAAGCTTCTGATATGGTCTCTTGACAGGTTCTGAAGTAGGCTTTGATTTATTTTTGATGTCTGCAAAGTTTTATATTTGGGATTGGCATGATTTATTCAACTCCTAAATCACAGGTGATTATTAACAATGTGTCTTCTCTATGGATGAATTTATACATCAAGGATGCCTTATTTCTCCTTTTCTTTTTAATGTGGCTCCCTTGCCTGTATAATTAGAAATTCTAAAAATATGAATGGAATTACAATGGGGGCAAAGTGTAAGATTTTATTATATGCTGATGAAATGTTTATAAATAGATTGGGCATGTTCTTAATCTTATCTCATTAATGCAGTCTGAGATTCTGCCTGGTTAACTATATAAACTGGTATAAATCACATTTGATGCTACTAGATCACAGTAACAATTTAGAAAAGTATAAGAATTGAGGTTTTAGATTCTGTTCAGTCTCCTTTGTTTATCTTGGTCAAAGAAGTTCCAGAAACCCTTTTCAACTGGTAAATAAACTTAACTCTTGTTTTGATGCAGATGAAAAAAGCTCTGGACAGATGATCTAAAAGTGTTGACCATCCTCAAGGAAATATTTCAAAAAGTGACTGGATTTGGTGACTTCATTTTCCCACCTCTCTCCCCATCAGGTAAGTCCAATCTTCCCCACTGTATCCTTCCTTTCCTCCCATTTACACTGTCAGTCATATAAATATCATATACAAATAGAGATTCAGATGTCTTCATTTTTCTCAGCAAAAAAAGAGAAGGAAAATCTGGCAAACTTAGCGTGTATGAAGCCCAAATAACTTATTGCATGGAAAAGAAAGGGACGTGGTGGAGAAAAATGTAATGTGTGGTAAAGTTCTGAGTCATTATCTGTAATTAACTGGTAGTGGCATCAGCTGAACTGTTGATGAGGCAGAGATATGGTTGCAGACATGCTTCTAGTGAAGCAGCTAATCGATTTGATGGAATGACTGTGGGTGGCAAAGGGGGGAACGGTCATTAACTTTCTGCCAAAGAATGAGCAACTGTTATTCACAATGACAAGAGATGGCATGAGAACAGATATTTTTGGGATGAGTGGGGGAATTAAATCCTCAAGCACTTTTTGATTTGAGGGAACATTCTAATTTGGGGGGGGGGGGTTCCTATTTTTTTCCCCCCTAACCTTCAACATTTGAGTTACAGCTGCTTTGGATTGTGGAAAAAATAGATGGAAAGGTAGAGGGATAAAGAGATGGATATAGAGATGAAGAGGAGAGAAATACTGATATAACTAAAGAAGAATATATGATAGTGAGGAGACCCAAGAGAAGATGAGGTAGGGAGATAAGAAGACTAGTTTGGACAAAGCAATGTTTTAATATCTTACATTCTATTCATAAAGTTTAACACTGAGTCATGTTCTTGGATCCAGTGTTGCTTTCCTGCTAATGGAAGGCATCTTTCACTCATGGTAGAACTGTTTTTAACCTAGAAGAAAACTGGTACGTTAGAAGGGGAAAATTCTAATAATTTTACAGAAGTTCTCCTTCAATCTAATTTACAATCCATCAGTATAATGCACATACACACATACCCACACAACCACAGAGATGAGCCAGCCTATCAACTGCCTTGTATAAGCTATCCATTCATACCTCTGACAAATACCACCTCTACTTCTTTCAGCAGTCCAATGGCTAAAGAGGAAAAAGGAGGGAGAATATGGCATTGGACACACTTACTGAGGCCATTTGGCCCTTCTACCCCTCATGGTCATCCAGGATTTATTATCTCAGATAAAATGTGGCTCTCACCTATTCTGTGTGATGGCTAGTTGAGGAAAATCAGAGGAGGAGGGGCATGTATGGGAAGAAGAGTAAGGAAAAGTTCCAGCGAGATCACCCACCAAGCCCAATTCTTTATATGGGATTTGTCATTGTCAAAACTTTAGTAAAGATTCATTTT